CCCCTCCCCCTCCTCTCTCTCTCTCTCTCTCTCTCTCCTCTCTTTCTCTCTTAGGGCAAAATGAAAATTTGAACACATTCGGCAGCTTTATTTATAAACTTTCGGAAAAATATTTGAAATGCAAGTCGAAATGACCCGAGGCATATCGATGCGAGCTGATATATTCCTATTAACGCAATTATCCTCCGTTCAACTGCTACCTACCGGTTGTCCACGTTATGACGAGGGCATTGGAATCCATTAATACAGCTTCGGTCGCGCGCAGGTTCATTATCGTGCATTAATTAGCAACACCCTATATCACTGGCAATACTATCGGCTCGGCTTGCTATTTCGTGGCTAACCACTGGCTCGTGACGTTCTGACCGCGCGATGGCAGTCAGCTTGATCCGATAAAAGACGACGGTTTATTTACCGCAACAAACAAGCAAACGCGCAACGCGATATTCTTGTTGCTGATCTACATCGCGCATGCTATCACTACGGCCTATATGTCTGGCCCTTTCGTAAATGCAACAACCCTGCCAGCGCTAGATTCAGATAAATGTAATTGACCCGATGAATTAAAGTTTTCAGTTTCCTAGTAACATCTAATATTGAAAATTAAGAAATGTACGTATTATTCGTCATAACATATATATTTAAAAAAATTCCGAGTTATTAAAAAAATTTTTATTTGATTTAGGAAATATTATTTCTAGCAAATGATCATAATCAACGTAAGAAAAAGCTAATATTTTAACAAAGATTGGCAGACACGGACGTGCCCATCCTATCTAAATCGTAATTCGCGAAACGACGTTCTACGCTCATCAATCAGCACCAATATTTCGGTAGTCGAGTGCCTTTTACGTCCGCTATTGGAATCCGGATGTGGCCACCGAGCAGCGGCCGGCTCGAAACGAGCAACGTGAAACTTTCGTTTCCGCTCAATCGTCAATTCCGCCGACAAACGAGAAATGATACGAGTACCGCGGCGCGGTCGCAATTTCGGTGGAAAAAGGGCTGCACTATACCGTATATATATATATATATGTGTGTGTGTGTGTGATGTTACGTATAGCTATCGCGAGCCTGCGGGATCGCGAGTCTTCGTGGTTGCGAATCGTGTTTTTGAAACATACGTGGCTAAAACTGCTCGAGTCTGTAATTCGCACAAGATCTACTTTAAATGTGAAATCGCGCCTAAAATGAGACATATACATTCTACTCTTTTTATTGCTTTTCATTGCTCGAGAATTGAAAAATTTCATAAAAAGAAAGAAACGAGAAAAATTATAAAATAAAAATAAAGAACCGTTGCATAGATTAGAAATAGAGAGAGAGAAAGAGAGAGAGAGAGAGAGAGAGAGAGAAGAAGAAACA